CACAAATCAAAATCCATCTTCACCATCACTTAACTCCCAAACACACGAAATTCTTATGTAGGGCGGAGATATCTGTTGAAACATTTCTAAAGATTCGTGGATGGAACGAGTTCCTTTCAGCCAGTGGCCGAATATTTCAATCACTAAATTGAGGCCATTCTTTTCTCATGGCACTTGAGTATGAATTACACGAAAACTAAAATCACAATTGTTACGTCCACTTTTCGTTTAAACACATACATTAGTTCCCGTTCTCCTATCGCTGCTTCTCAAAATAAAACAGTTAGAATCCAATTAAGGCGTAAATGTAATAAGAGACAACCATGCAATCAAACAGCTTCAATTCAATGAACTTGAAGTGGGCCAACAAGTGGAAATAAAGGTCGAATAAGTGGACAGGTAGTCTACTACTCGCAGAGTGCTGCACGATGTTACGGAATCACGTCTTCGCGATAACAATGACCCCGTTACTACGATCAACCGGCTAACCGATTTATAGACACGCATCACTGCTACTGATTCATCCACAGGGACCTAATTGCACGGTCAATTAGGTTAGACAAGAGCTAAGAAAATCCAGTAATGCTATAAAATAACTAAACAAATTTAAATATATTACCTCTCTAAAAAGAGCTGTGGAAATTACGTGTGTGTCCCATTGATGTAACGTACACCAAGATATTCCCTTTTCAGTATAAACTTCCGAACCTCCTCTTTTTACGAAATTCCATCTTCTCATGCTGTTTCCAGTTCTGGAATATCAAGCAGGCCACAATACACGAGTTTTCATGTTTCAGAACGTGACCTGCTTCCATCAAAGTATTAACAGTTTCTTGGAATTGAGGTGTTAAAACCTCCACTAAAGGTGACCTGTCAGCCTTGTCAATCCTCTGCTATCTAACAGTTTAAAGTAGATTATAAAATCTGGAGTGAATATAAATGATACTCCATGTTTCTGTGCCAAAATTATCAATAATAGTAACCGACGGTTTATAAGAAAAATAAAATTCGCATTCCCTCTGCAGCAAACCTGCAATACTTTTGATATAAGAACATGACACACAGCGAGACTTTATGGTAACAACTAGAAGGATTAAGACCGTCAGAGGGTAGATATGGAAATAAAAATTACCTGGTACATTTGTATGTAAAAAGAGAGAGAGAGAGAGAGAGAGAGAGAATTCGCATTGCAGCCTCTTAGATTAAGACCCGAACATGCACTAGGGCACATAATCAGACAGAATTCTTCATACCCTTCTACAGTCCATTTCAGGCTCTCATGATTAATCGTTTAATATATTAATTGACTCTTACTGTCTCTAGCTGTTTAAATGCCCGAGTTTTGCGCCATTAATTATTAAACAACAGACTACAAAATTCTTGTCAGCAGAATACAAGACAGTCGTGAATTATATAAAGATTGCTAATAAACTCTGTGAAAATGCTGCAATTCAGATATCTAGAAATTACAGTAACAAATCAAAATTAAATTCACCACTAACTTATGAGAACATGAATTTGGAAGATGGTTATTACCATTCAATTGAGAATGCCCTGTCTTTACACCTTCAAACTAAAACTAAAGGATTGAAATACTATTTAGACCTAAGAGACAGGAAGCAACAGGAAAATGGAGAATGTACAATGAGCAGTATCATAATTCAGGGCAATCAAATCAAGGAAGATTAGATGAACGGGGGGGGGGGGGGGGG